TCGAGATTTAAAACTGCATAGCTGTAAGAGCGTTCCAGACGATCACAGAAGCGCATCACTGTGTGTGTGTGTGTGTGGGGCCTTAAAATGAAATAAATAATAGGCGACGTTTCGGATAATGGTCCTTTTTCATGGCGCATGCAATGGGGAATGACCCCTTTCTTGCTGTAGGATCTCGAATACAGATATCCTTCCTTTGTTTGACGAAATTTCGCGCCGCGGCGATTGACACTTTTCGATTGACGGAATCGAATTTCCGCGCGAGCGAAATTTCACTCGAACCACGCATCGCGAGGATCATCAAACGAGAAGCGGCACGGGAGGCAGCGTCAGCCATCCGCGACGGCGTCCCGGTGTCCCAGCTCCGGGGCAACACAGTCAACGCCTCCACCGTCACCCGTCCAGCCATTCCAAACGTGCAGCAGATGTTTTGGTGATTTCTCTGATTAAGGTTGATTATTTTGATTTTAAAAGATAATAATTATTCTTATTATTCAAAAGTTTTTAATTATGATGCTCTTTATTAACATGTTTTGCATTTCGAAGACTGATATAGGTGTACATTACATTTTTAGGTTATGAGTTGGAACGACTGTCCGAAACACGTCCCTAACTTTTAGCGTGAAATGAATGGGAAAAGGCGTTCCGATTTGCAGCGTCTTTTTGGAAGAACGCATCCGCGTCATAGACCCGACTCCAATATTCCATAACCTAGAGGGGAAAACCCTCTGATATCACATCAGCGAGGGGCTAAGCTGTGCTTGCCTTGACAGTGAAATCGGTAGCATTGATCGGTTGGCGCTGAAGTCGATTCGCCCATTACTCTTTGGTTCTTTCGGCAAAATCACGTCGTTAGAGATTAATTAAAATGAAACCAATCACGACGTTTCGATTGCAACACGAGCAATCATCGTCAGGTGGGAAAACCACAGCAAGACATTTTGTTTTGCTCAAGTGGGAGAGAGGTTATATAGGTGTAGAGAAGTTCCCACGGACGCACTCGGAGACTGCGATATGTTAAGGGATTTCGCCAAGGGTTTATTAAAGCTGTTACAATAACACACAAGGGTACACAACTCCCAGGGGCTAGGGGTCCTACTCTGAGTCCGGGTCCCTGCCGGCTAGCTCCGGTCTCTCTCTCTCGTGTCGGATCGTGGACTCTGACGACTCCACCGAGCGGAGAGAGAAGCACCTCTATGGCTACCACCGGCTTCTCCCCAGACTCACGACTCGATCTCTCTCTCTGCCCCTGGTTCCCTCTTCACCCTGCTTACTCTACCCGTTCCCACAGTGACCCCGCTTACGTCACGGGGTCTACCTTAAGTACCCGAGGAGACGTGACGTCATCGCACTGAACGGCACACCTGACGTCACGTCCCCATTTTACTCCTCTACATAGGTAAGAAGGGGGAGGGGAAAGGGAGGAGAGAGAGGGGGGGGTAGGGGGATGGGGGGGCTGCGTGAGCGCTAGGGGGAGAGAGGAGTTGAGGCTGAAGGGGGGGGGGGGGGCTGGAAGTGGGAGATCTGGGAATGCTGGGGGAAATTAACACGGAAAAATAGAGTAGTAGTTGCAATGAAAACATCGTGATTTGCTTTATTTTCATGTATTTCTACCTACGTGACTTTACCGAAAGAACCAAAGAGTATGGCCTTAACCGTCTGCAGGGGCAAGTGCTGTTAGCCGAGCACCAACGTAGCTCGGCACGGCACACGCCAGGGTGGGTGGCCAGCACCACGCTTGGCCGCCTTTGTCTTCCGAGTGCCGATGTTTACACACCGCCAACAGGTACTCGTCTGAGGCTGTTTCGATCTGGGGGAGGCCCAGGACCGCTTCAGATGATCGTGACTGGGGTGAGTGGCCGTGAGCGGGAATCGAACTCGGGCCTGCGAGTTCGTAGCGCAGCGCGCTGACCGCTGCACCACCGCTCCCCACACCTCTATACACCTGAGCTGCACCTCCGATGAGCATGGTTGGCTATATATGGTGCGAAAGAAGTTTAACGTGCATACACATACCTACCGACCTGACAGACACGTGTACACCTGTACACACTTGCATACGTGTGACACACACGTGTATACACCTGGACACACGTGGACACACGTGGACGCACGTGCAACATCCAGTTGGAGCTGTTCGGGGCTCTGCTTCCGCAAAATATTCCGTGAGAAAGGGAAGCGCTGGCTGCAGCGAGCCACCGTCGCCGCATCAGGCGCATTTGGACACTCCCGATAGATACACATCCCAGGCCCGTCGTGTCTATGCCGGTGTGCCAACTCCATCCAGGTGTGGCAGGTCTATCCAAGTGTGTGACCATCATCACCACCATCATGGCCGTCATCACCACTATCACCATCACCACCATCATCATCATCACCACCATCATGGCCGTCATCACCACCATCACCATCATAACCACCACCATCATCGCCACCATCATAACCACTATCATCACTAACATCACCACAATCATCGTCATCACCACCACCACCATCATCATTACCATCATAACCACTATCATCATCATCACCACCATCAACCTCATCACCACCATCAAGGCCATCATCACCATCATCACCAACATCACCAACATCACCACCATCATCATCGCCATCATCATAACCACTAGCATCACCAACATCACCACTACCACCATCATCATTGCCATCACCACCACGTGGTTGAGGTCAGAGATGCGAGGAAACCAGGGTAGCAGAACGGGAGTGGAGGGAGGGGCGAGAGGAGGGGTGGGTGAGAGGGGAGAGGGATGAGAGGGGAGGGGTGAAGCACTTGGGACGGGGGGGCGTGTTGACCTTTTAATGCTTCGTCGAAAATCACACACATCCACACACATCCACACACATACACACACATACACACACATACACACTCACTCAAAAAGACAAAGACCACCCGCATAGCCTTAACAGACTGTAGGGGCAAGTGCTGTTAGCGAGCACCTATAAAGGCCGGCACGGCACGCGATGGGGTGGCCAACACCACGCGCGGCCGCCTTTGTCTCCTCGGTGGCGATGTTTACACATCGCACCAGGTACTCATTTGAGGCTGAGTCGACCTAGGGGAGGAGGCCCAGGACCGCTAACCGCTACACCACCGCTCCCCACACACACACATTAACACACACATACACACCAATTCACACACACATTAACTCACACACATACACACTAACTCACACACACATTAACACACACATACACACTAACTCACACACACATTAACTCACACACATACACACTAACTCACATACACACTAACACACACATACACACTAGCTCACAACAACCGGCGTTCACTATAAAGTGGCAGTGACGTCACCACGGCGCTTGTGCCAGGCTAGGTGCACTTTGAGGTCACGTGAAGCGTCGAAGGCTCCCTGTTGGCAGAAGGTCAAGGGAAAGACCCAGGTGCCAGGGGTTAACCGACTGAGATGACTGGCAGACTGAGCTCTAAGTTATATAGCTCATGTGCCTTACCTGGTATATAGATATGGCCACATATGATACCTCAACGAAGTGGCTTTTCACGTGTAAATGGATATCAGCCAAATACTCTAAAACGCACGTTCATTCTAAATGTGGAGGGAAAAGCCGCAGGAGCCGGAGATGAATCCACACGACCACAAAAATAACGTGCAAACCCCAAATATACAGGCGTCAGGGTCCGGGTCGAGCCCACGACCTCCTGTACACCAGGCGAGGTAGTTAACATCTCGCCACTGTGGCACCGTGTCTGGTGGACCCAGTCGACTGAATGCCCCTCCCCCAACCACACCCCCCCACCCCCGCCTCCACGCCCCCCACGCCCCCCACTCTGAGAGCCTGCAGAGAGAGAGGAAGCAATCACCACGGCTGGCCACGTGCAACGCATGAATGCTCACTGGGGAAGAGAGGCTGCAATTCGTCGGTCGGGAGCTGGATCGGTACCGCCGGGGTCTGTTGTGGAATACGGGAGGTCTGCTGGACTGTTTTATGGGCCCTGTCACCATGGGGGGGGGGGGGTGGATTAGTCCTCTACTTGGGACAGGGATGTAAGATCATCCGACAAGGAGTGGCTCTTTGTCTTTAAACAAAAAAACGACAATGAAGGGAGTAGCATGTGAGCGTGGCGGGGTGAGGTTTGGTGGGAGCCTGCGAATCGCAGGACGTCGGGGACTCGCCCCTCCTGAGCCTCCTCCTCATCCTCTTCTTCACGCGCGTCTTGGGTAAAGTGGTAGCGTCGTGAATTCCCACGGAGGTCACGAGCAATGCCCGAGCAGTCGGTGCACGAGTGATGGGAAGGCGTGGGCCGGAGCAGCTCGATATTGTGGCGCGCGACTCCGATTAGCGCGGTTGGCTACGTACGGCGCGAAAGAAGTTCAACGTAGAGCACGTACGTCATGGTGGGCGGGAGGGGGGAGGGCTGCTCTCTCGTCGCCGGGTGGTATCAACACACGTCTTGGGTACGTGCCTGCTTTTAAACGAAGGCTGGGCTACAGTGAAGCAACATAGCGAACGTGAGCCCATCTCGCCCCACCCCAAATACAGACACACACACACGGGTCTGTCCGCTGACCATCAGCTGCTCGTCCGTAAGGTGCGCCTGTTATCGCGTTCGGATGGAAAATTTCCTGGTCTCAGCCGAGGGAGGGAAATGGGTTACGTTTCAGGACTGTGTAGTGCCGGATGTCCTAGTAGCAAAAGTAGCTACAGATGTAGCTACGGGGCCCGCACTTTCAAGGGCCCCGCGCTAAATGCTTTCAAGTCATCAATTGTGGTTCAGTGATTCTGCACTTGCTCTATTACTATAGTACTATACTGACTTAATTTTTTTTTATGAAGGACTGGGTGTTTAAAGTTAGCGATTTTTCGTGTTATCTGGCTGTATAGCAAATGAAAAAATTAAATTACTTTACTATGCAAGTAAAAAAAATGTGTGTTTTCATATATTTTAGGGCCCCTTTATAATAACATATGCTACAGCCCCCCCCTCCCCGCACCAGCTGAATTCGGCACTGGGGCTGTAGCTCGTGCAGCTGCTGTTGCTGCACGGGACAGCAAGTCCAGACTTGAGAAAGAAAGAAAACAAAACCCCTTGGCTGACTCAGGAGGAGATGTTTCGCAGACAGAAGGCGTCAGGTCCATTCTCAACGCTCACAATGTCCAACAGAAGGGGGTTATTTATGTTTTGGTCAGATGATCGGGGAGCTGTTTGGTACCGAGAGGATCAGAATCAGAATCGCTATTTATCGTGGATAAAATCCGATGAGCTGTGAAGCGCTTCTTCACACACGGGGGTCAGAACGTCACAACAACAATACAAAAATTAACGATAGGAGTCCAGAGTATAGGAAAGGAAAGTCAATCAATTAAAACATAAAATAAAGTAAAAACGTTCACGTTTCACGAGTACATTCATTGCATTACTTGGGCCAGATAGAAAAAGCAAAAATAGCCCCACGTCACACCAAGGCAACAGACAGGAACCCTCAATAAAGTTGCACGTTAACATTTTACATAATGTTTTATTGTTATTATTTTATAATTTCCCTTCTACGTGACTTTACCGAAAGAACCCAGAAAATGAATCCCTGCAGTCACGAAAGCTTTAAATCGAGAATAAAAATGTAACTAACGGAATCGGTAAAAGGATGAGTTTGCTGCGGAAACGGGACTGCTTTCGACACTTCCCGAACGAACGCGGACACCTGCGAAAAAAGAGCTTCATAGCTCATCGGATTCCTCCAAGACGAATAAATATTCTGATGACCGTTGCGGCGTCTTTGTCTCACGACTGCTGGTGTTTACACACTGCAACACGTGCTCATTTAAGGCTGACTCCACCTAAGCGAGGTTCGGGACCGGTTGAGTTATATTTGCTACTAATGTTTCGCCGTGACCAGGAGTTGAACTCGGGCCCCGGGCTCACATACATAGATTTACACGCGCAAACATGAATACATTCGAACATTTACGCGTTCCCATATACACATACAGTACATACTTGCATACAAAGACAAAGGTCCTCCGTATGCTTGAAGGCCAGCACGGCACACGAGCGAGTGGGTGGCCAACACCAACACCGGCCGCCTTTGTATCCCTAGTGCCGATGTTGACACATCGCGACCAAGGTATTCATTTGAGGCTGAGTCGACTTAGGGGAGGGCCCAGGACAGGCGCAGATAATCGTCACTGGTCTTGGCGTGAGCGGGAATCAAACCCGGGTCGCCCGGGTTCATAACGCAGCGCGCTAACCACTGCGCCACCGCTCCTCTCACACGCATCTCACCCCTCATGTCTTCCCCCAACAAAGATCCCCCGTATAGCCTTAACAGACTGTAGGGGCAAGTGCTGTTAGCGAGCCCCCCCCCCCCACATTCCCTGCACGCCACAGCCACAACGCCTCAAACCAATACTCTGTCACACTCTTCTCTCAAACAAAGACAAAGATCCCCCGTGTAGCCTTGACAGACTGTCGGGGCAAGTGCTGTTCGCGAGCAGCACCTATGAAGGCCGGCATAGCACGCTAGGAAGTAGGTGGCCAGCACCACGCCCGACCACCTTTGTCTCTCTGAGTGGCGATGTTTACACACCGCACCGTGCACTCATTTGAGGCTGAGTCGACCTAGGGGGAGGCCCAGGAGCGGTTCAAATAATCGTCACTCGGTGTTGTTGGCCGTGAGTGGAAATCGAACTCGGGTCGCCAGGTTCGTCACGCTAACGGCTACACCGCCGCTCTCTCCAACAAAGATCCCCCGTATAGCCTTAACAGACTGTGGGGGCAAGTGCTGTTAGCGAGCACCTATGAAGGCTGGAACAGTACACAAGGGGGTGGGTGGCCAGCACCACGCCCGACCCCCTTTGTCTCCCCAATGTCGATGTTTACACACCGCACCAAGTACTAATTTCAGGCTGAGTCAACCTAGGGGAGGCCCAGGACCGGATCAGATAATCGTCACTGGGTGTTGGCCGTGAGCGGCAATCGAACCTGGGTCGCCAGGTTCATAGCGCAGCGCGCTAACCGCTACACCACCGCTCCCCACTCTCTCCAACACACACGCACACACACGCACCCTGCCTCCTACACGCACAGAACACACACACATTCAGCTGTCCCCTTACACGTACACACATTCAACAACACATCTCCTCCTCTCACACAATGATCTCTGTCTCACACAAAGGCAAAGACAAAGCTCCCCCGTATAGCCTTAACGGGCTGTTGGGGCAAGTGCTGTTAGCCAGCGCCTATGAAGGCCGGAAAGGCACACGAGGGGGTGGGTGGCCAGCACCACGCCCGACCGCCTTTGTCTCTCTGAGTCGACCTCGGGGAGGCCCAGCACCGATACAGATAGTCGTCACCGGTGTTGGCCGTGATTGTGAATCGAACTCGGGTCGCCGGGTTCGTAGCGCAGCGCGCTAATCGCTACACCATCGCTCCCATACACATCATACGCCACACACGTTTCTCTCTTATTCAAACACACACACACACAGACACCACAGAAACACACCTCTCTCTCAAACACACGTATGTCTCTCTTACACACATCTCTCTCACGCACACACGTCTCTCTCACGCACACACACACATCTCTCATGCACACACACACATGTCTTACACGCCACACAAGCCGCCGCTTGTCTCTCTCACACACAGTGCATCTCGCCTCTCCCCACACACCTCTCTTTTGCTCACACACACACTCCATACCCCCCCCCATACACACCCACACACACACTCCATACCCCCCCCCATACACACCCACACACACGCCATACACAAACCCGTCCCACACACATGCACACCCCCCACACACTACACGCACTCCACACACACACACACCCTACACACACACGCCATACACACACCCGCCCATACCCCCCCCCCACACACAAACCCACACATGCACACCCCCCACACTACACACACACACACCCTACACACACCCACACACATGCCATACACAAACCCGCCCCACACACACCCCACACACACACAAACCCACACATGCACACCCCCCCCACACACACACACCCACACACACGCCATACACGCACCCGCCCCACACACACCCCCCACACACACAAACCCACACATGCACACCCCCCACACACTACACACACACACACCCCCTACACACACCCACACACACCCCCTACACACACCCGCCCCACACACACCCCACACATACACAAACCCACACATGCACACCCCCCACACATTACACACACACACACCCCCTACACACACCCACACACACGCCATACACACACCCGCCCCACACACACCCCACACATACACGAACCCACACATGCACACCCCCCACACACTACACACACACCCCTACACACCCCCACAAACACGCCACACACACACACCCCTACACACCCCACACACATGCCATACACACACTCCACGCCACTCCACACACACCTCCACACACGCCACACACCCCACATCTCTACACACCCCCGAGACATACACTCACCCCACACACACCTCTCTCACACACCTCTCTCTCACACACACAGACACCCACACACACACTCCACAAACACACCTCCGACACTCAGACACCCCACACACGCACACTCCACGCATACACACACACGCACACCCCATAAACACACACACATGCACCCCTCACGCACACTCCCAAACACCCACGCACACACACCCCACGCACACCCACACACGCACACCCCCCACACACCATGCACATCCCACGCACACATACCCCCACACACACCCCACACTCCCCACACACACCCCACACCCACACACCCCCACGCACACACACCCCACACATATCCCACGCACACACATCACACCCCACGCACACACACCCCACACACACCACACACACCCCTCACACACTTACACACCCCACACACACACAACACACACCCCACACACCACGCACACCACACACACCCAACACACACCCCACACACCCCACGCACACACACGCACACCCCACACACCCACACACACCCCACACACACGCACACCACACACACGCACACCACACACACGCACACCACACACACACACATCCCACACACACCACACACGCACACACACCACGCACACTACACACACACAACACACACCCCACACACCCCACGCACACACACGCACACCCCACACACCCCACACACACACACCACACCCCGACACGACGTCTCACCGGGGTTCAGGAACGGCAGCGGCGCCGCTGAGGCGAGGGCCGGGCCCGCCAGAGTGGCGACGAGGAGACGCAGCCGCATCTCGTTCCCGAGCAGCAGCAGCAGCAGCAGCTCCACCATCATCTCGCCCAGCACCACCACCACCACCACTAACCACCACCTACCGCTAACCACCGAACGCCGCGAAATGAATAATCAGCCGGCAATTGCCCCGCTGATCCGCTCCGCGCGAGCGACTTGCGTGGAGCTGTCTGTGGTACCGCGACGACAACAATCGTCTACGAGGGCGGATGCGATGTCCCAGAATTCATCGCAGACTCTGCCACCTCTGCTGCTGCTGCAGCTGCACCGTCTACGTAATCGTCTTCTTCATCATCACCATCTTCTGCTGCTGCTTTATCATCAGTCAGCAGCGGCTGCTGCTGTAGCCGCTGCAGCAGCAGCAGTAGCAGCGACGGCGTCGGTGGTGGTGGTGTTGGTATCTTGCCAAGATGATTTCAAGCGGAGGATCGACTGCAGTCGTGCTGTGTGGCATCGTAAGGATGGAGAATTTTGTTGTCGTCGATCGTGAGATTTGCTTTATCTTCGGGTACACAATTATAATGAACAATAATGTCAGCAGCAGCAGTAGCCGTGTTAGCAATACATGGCAGAGACGGCAACGCTATAATGTTCCAATAATCACCAATAAATAAAGAAATCATCGAACGAAAATGAGATCACCGGTGAAATAATAACGTGACACTGATGACAATTTCCTTCCAATATTTAACGATCTGACGTAACAAAAACAAAACGTGGAATTTGAGAATATTTATATATTTAGATTTTTCTCATATCACACCGAAACAATCCGTCGGCATTTTTCAGCGGAAGAAATATTTAAAAACGTAAACCTATCGAGAGAAGAAGCTGCCGCCGCCGCTGCTGCTGCTGCTGCTCCTGGACGCGTTCCGTCTACGCTGCTCGACTTGGACGAGGAGGATGAGGAGGAGACGCGGGGAGATGCGTTGAGGGAGATGCCGATCCCGACGCCATCTTAGCGGTGCATTAAGGGAGATGATGCTCTCCCTGTAGCTCTCTCCCTGTCGCTCTCTCTCCCTCGCTCTCCCCGCGTCATCCCTCTCTCCCCCCCCCCACCTCTCTCTCCTCTCTCCCTCTCTGCGAGCGTCTCACCCTCCTCCCCCTCTCTGTCGCTATTTCTCTGTTCCTTTCCGTTTCTCCCTCTCCCCCTCTCTGTTTCTCTCTGTGTGTTCCCTTCTTGTCTTCTGCTCCTCTCGCTTCGCTCTCCCTATCGCTTCGCGTCTCTCTGCCCCCCCCATCTCTCTCCCCCCTTCCTATCTCTCATCCACTCTCTCTCTCTCCCTCAAATATCTTCCGTTTCTCTCTCTCTTACATATCTCATTTCCGCTCTATTAATCTCTGTCGTCTCTCTCCCTCCTGCTTATCTCTTGTTTCTCTCCCTCTCCTTATCTCTCTCTTTTTTTACGATCAGTGGAAACAAGAAGATGCTCTATGTAGTCGGCACTTTGCTTCGTTCATTATTTCGCAATTTTTATTTTATGTTTTAAATAAAAACTTTGCTTTATGTAAACCCCCACCCCTCGCTCACTCTCGTTCTGCACGCAGCCCTTCTCACAGTCCGACGGCCTCCGACGGGTAGCTCACATCAGCATGCAGAGCTCCCCGTCATCTGCCACCGAGCACACGGCCTCCTCCATCGCCCACTGCTCCTTGAAGGCCGGCACGGCGTGGGTCAGCCGCGCCGCATGGCGGAACTCCAGCCCACACACCCTGGCTCCACCCAGAGCGCGGAAGATGCCCACGCTGCTGGCCGGACGTTTCCCCTCCAGGGCCACCTTCCTCGCCCTGTAAATGGCGAGCTTGTCGTAGCCGACGAGCACGTTGACCAGCCCCTGAAGATGTTGGGGTCCGTCGCCCTTTTGGTATTCAAAGATGAGGACCGTCGGGGAGAAGTGGAGGCTGAACCTTAGGAGGATGTTTTTGAGGACATTGAACAACAAGTCTCAGGCTCTTGCACTCCACGTATTGGTGCGCCACCATCTCCACTTCACCGCAGGACCGGCCCTCCGGGGACGTGTCGGTGAAGCGCGCCAGGGAGGCGTTGGTGGTGACGGTGCCGTGGGCGATGCTCCAGCTGAGGTCACCAATGCGGTTGTACGTCTGGCTGGAGTAGAGTTGCCTCCAGCGAGGCCTCTCCGGAGAGATGCAGGGCAGGGCTTTCCTCCAGGCATAGTCCTTGTGGCTCCTCAGGGTGTCCTGTTAATGAAACGGGACCATGTAGGAGTAGAGCACCTTCCTCTTGACATTTGCGAAGGCCTCCTCCGGTAGGTCTTCCAGCCGGCACAGGTTGTGATCCGCCTTCGCTTGTCGGCATTGGCGATGCAGCGGCACGATGGAGAGCTCCGGTCGAGGGGGACCGAGAGGGGCCTCGTCATCCCCAACGCCGATGGGGGGCGTTCTCCCCGCTGCTGCTGAGAAGGCCCCCTTGGCTTCGGCCAGGCTCCGGGCAGCCACCCGGAGCGACTGCAGCCCTGTCTTTGCGGCCATGTCTGCTGGTCCGAGCGACCGGCCCCGTGTTCCAGGCTCCACCAGATCTCCCATCCTGGTGAGCCGCGCGTTGGTGAGGCGCCTCTCCATGCCGGGGGTGGCGGTGGTGGACGGCAGCTTTGTCTGCGGGTTCCTGAGGATCGGTTCGAAGACCAGATCTTCGGCCGATCGCGGCTGGTTCAGCCTCCTGACGGCGAGGGAGCTCCACGTCCGCAGGACGCTCCTGTAGAAAGGTGGCAGCAGCTGTTCCAGTGAGAGGCCCTGCAGGTTCAAGTAGAATAGTTGTTTGGAGCACTGCAGACCCCCCCCACCCCCAGCTGTTTCAGGAGGAAAGAGGCTGTGACGCTCCAGGCCGGTGCAGGGGCGGCGTGCAGGAACTTGTGTGCGGCCTGCAGTCGGACGGTGGCCAGCTGACTCCGCACGCACACCGGCCCGTGACCGCCCTCGTCCAGTGGCAGGGCCAGGACCCCAGCCGCGACCCGGTGTCCTCCGCCCGACCAGAAGAAGTCGAGGACTCGCTTCTGAAGCGCGTTGGCGAGGCTCATGGGGGGGGGGGAGGGGGGTGCAGGGAGAAGAGTCGGTGCCACAGCATGGACGTCACCAGCTGGTTCACCACCACCTCTCTCCTCGTCTGTCTGCCACTCTTCCCTCTCCCAGTCACTCCACATCTCCGTCTCTCTCTCTCTCGCTTCCTCTTCGTACAATGCGTCCATGCGCATCTGCAGTCCTCTTATCCACTGCTGGATGAGGACCTGCCCACGCCCTTTAGGGGCGTGGTTCATGGTGGTGGTGGCGGCTATTTGACCATCCGCATTGATGGAGGTGGTGAGGACACACGTGGGGAGCATAGCAAGTACTGTACAACAAAACCATCGATTTTTGCTTCACTGCCCTGTGTTGCTCGTCACGTTGCGTAAACCTCCTCATCCCCCCCGCCCCTCCCCCCTCCCCCGGAGCAGCCTATAGCAACCTGGCATGCACGCCAGTGATGGTGTCCTGTCCATGCAAGCACGACGCAGGCTCACCCCCGCTGAGCTTGCGAGACCTCACGAGACCCGTGGGTGCCTTCCCTGTCATTGCCCGCAGGCGCTTGAGCCCCCAGCCCCCCCTCCCCCCCGTGTTCATTGGAGAGTGAACGGGGACGTACGTGGAAGCGTGGTGGGGGTGGGAGGGAGGGGGGGAGATGGAATAAAAATGCGACGGATGAAATAAAATAAGTAAAGGATGTGAACCTCGCGACGTGAGAAAAAAGAATCGATGTCGCTCCCTGCACGCGCGCGCCGTCGATGATATCGCAGCCGCCCTGAAAGGAAGCGCCGAGCGGAGACGGTGGGATCGGACTAAGTAGTCACCACCTCCCCCCGTCTCTGTTAACTCTCCATCTCTCCCTCCTCTGTCTCGTCCCTCTCTCCTCCGTCTCCTTCCCTCTCTCGCTCCCCACCATCCTCTCTCTACCCCCCTCCCCCACCGATCCCTCTCCCCCTCTCCCCCTCTCCCCCCATACCCCTCCCCTCAACCCCCCTTCCCTCTATCCCCCCTCCCCCACCGATCCCCTTTCCCCCTCTCCCCCCCTCTCCCCCTACCCCCTTCTCCCCCCATACCCCTCCCCTCAACCCCCTTCACGCTATTCCCCCTATCCCCCCTCCCCCTCCCCCCTCTCCCCCTATCCCCCTCTCCCCCCATACCCCTCCCCTCAACCCCCCTTCACGCTATTCCCCCTCCCCCTATCCCCCCTCCCCCCTCTCCCCCTCCCCCCTCTCCCCCCATACCCCTCCCCTCAACCCCCCTTCACGCTATCCCCCTCTCCCCCCTCCTCCCTCTCCCCCCCACCTTTATCCCCCCCCCCTCCCCCCGGCGGCGCGTGCCCGTCTCGAGGCGCGTGCACTCCCGGAATATCGAGCAGCGCGCGCCGCGGGTGACGTCACCCGAAACGCAAAGACAAAGGTCACCCGTGCGGCCCTTTCCAGCGGGAGCAAGTGCCGTCAGCGAGTAGCGGCACCGATGAAGGCCGCTGGCACCGTGGCACACGAGGGGGTCGGGGGGGGGGCAGCAACCATGCCCGGCCGCCTTTGTCTCCCTAAGCGCGATGTTCACGACACACCGCACCGGGTACTCATTTGAGGCTGAGTCGACCTAGGGGATGAGGCCCGGGACCGGCGCAGATAACGGCCGCGCTCACCGCTGCGCCACCGCTCCCCCCCCCCACACACACTGTAGACATACAGTACATAATCTGCTGGGTTCTATCCACTGTTGGACGAAGGCCTCCCCACGTGACCGCCACGATCCGTCTCGCTCCCTGGCACGCGAGCTCAGTTCCCCCGCTCTGTCTCCTCGTGGTCAGCCGCTTAGAGAGAGGGAGAGAGAGGACGACTCAGAGAGAGAGGGGACGAATCAGAGAGAGAGAGGACGACTCAGAGAGAGAGAGAGAGGACGACTCAGAGAGAGAGAGGACGACTCAGAGAGAGGACAACTCAGATAGAGAGATGACGACTCATAGAGAGAGGACG